CCTTCTCCAAGCACCTGCTCAGTGGGGCTTGCTCAGAGCTCACTGCCGCACAGCCCACAAGGCCAGGCTAAGGCAGCCGACCCGCGACGGCCCTCTACACCCACGCTCGGGACCTAGGTGGGCGAAAAGCTGCAAGTCTAAGTCTCAGGATGCGCTCAGTCTCTCATCTCAAAGCAGGGTGTCTCTTAAAAAAAAAGGGCGGCGTGCCAGCCACATACGTTCCACGGGGCAATGGACGTGTGCGACCACAAGGCAGCCGCCAAGGCGCCCTCCACGCTGGCAGTGACCCAGACGGACCCCCGGGGTGTCCGTCCTGCAGTCCTCCGACCAGAGCATCGGCACTGTTTTAACCAGCCACCCGAGGAAGTCACTGGAAACCAGGATGCCCCCCACACGCACAGCTAACTGCACCAGTGGCTGCCGGGGGCACAGGAGCCAAATCGTTCCAAGGAGAGTCAGAGCCACCCTCTCGACGCCCAGGCCCACCCGCCCCACCCGCGAGGCGCTGCTCACCGTCCGACAGCACCTCGTACGCCTCGGCGACTTGTTTGAATTTTCTCTCTGCTTCCTCTTTATTCTCAGGGTTTTTGTCTGGATGCCACTTCAGTGCCAGCTTCCGGTACCTTGAAAAAAAGTAAAATAGAAGGATATTGATCACCATAAAGTCCAAAATCCCAAGGGGTTCTGAAACATAATTAGGCAAGAAAACGGCTTCGGAGCTGCACACCAGATGAAGGTCGGGCTCCAGTGTCAAATCTCCCTCCCCCAGAATGGAACAAACGAGCGCTAAAGCCCAGAGCACACAATACGAACCAGCCGCGAGACGGAAAAGCGTCAGGTCCAAGGGCCAGCGTGGCAGTGAGAGCTCAGGGTGACGAGGCCGAGCAGCGGAGCGCGTGCGGAAGGCCGCCTGCTCACGAGCGGGAGCCTCGGACCTGACTGTCCTCACCGGCCCACCGCCTCACAGGGCCGTGGCAAAGGCGGCCGCCTCAGCCGCGGCACGGGCAGGTGCTCCACGTGCCACCCGTTCTGGGTTCAAGATTCTAATTAGCATAACAATCAAATGTTTTTTAATACAAAACATTCCCCTTCTAATTAGCCAAACATAAGCTGCATAATTTAATACAGGGGCATGAAAGGGGGAGGGAGCATGCCCCTCAAAATATAAGACCAGAATTAACCTGACGGGCCTTTTAACACTTGGCTGCTGAGGTCCAATCTAACGTCAGCATCTTAACCAAAAGCCTTGGCTTAACTTATTAAAATCTGATTAAAATTGGAATCTGTAACAGCCAAACAGTACTTCATTCTTATGTCGCTGTGGACCCAACGGGCAGTAGCAGGCCCGACCCCTCGAAGGGCCACGACTCCCCCACAGAAAGCGGCGGGGCACGCCGAGGACTGCAGAGCAATGCGGCTTGAGGCCTGAGCGCGGCCGAGCTCGCCTGCACGCACCTGGGAAAGACGACAGCGCACGGAGTCGAAGCGCATGCGTGCAGAGCGTGTCCAGGGCCCCTCGACGCTGCCCCGCGGACTTCACACGCGCGCCAGCACCGAGGGGGCAGGCGTCACTGCAGCCCCGTGACCCACGCACGGGACTGGGCATTCTCAGGGACAGGACGGCAGCCACACACCTCTCGTCCTCACACAAAAGCTCTCCTGGCCGTCACACGCGAACGAAGCCGGAGTTCACAGCACAGACTGTTTAAGGGTACACGCACCACCCATAGAAGTAACTGAGGCTAAATCTAGTCTGTCAATATTTACTCAACCGTACCCACGATGGGGAAATCTCGTTCCTTTTAAAGGCGACAGCATTTTCTAAATTCATACTCAAAGTCACCCTGGAGACACTGAGCAACCCACGCTGTCACCAGTAACTGAAACAAACCCGCCCTCCAACCGCCTCCCACAGAGCCCAGGCATGTCTTCCCGCCAGCTGACTAGGCCGTGCGGGAGCAGCACAGCCCTTCCAACCGCACCAGCCAGCACTGGCTGTGAACCGTGACGGGCATGAGAAGCGACACAGCCCGCTGGCGACAGCTCAGAGGGACTTCCTGGCCCGCCTGGTCCCACCCGAGCAGGCTGATCTCCCCCCTCGGGTTCCCGGCCCAGCTGTGACACAGGATATCCCGTAAGCAGCCGCAGGTGTGCCAAAGTGCAGTCAACCTGCTCACCTGTAAGTTTGGCACGTTACATAGAACTGTCTGGTTCAAAACCCCTTAATTTCCATCTGCAGACCTACTAAGTCTACCAGCGCGGACTCACTGCGAATCAACTAGAGTCGCTTCCAACAGCACAGACTGGACCCAAGGTCCCGAGGCTCCAGACTTACTCACCAGTCTTCCAGCTGTGCTAAATGTCAACATCGGTGCATTAACGACATCCCTCTCACCGCCACAACCACCTGTGACCTGAGATTCATCCCTGTCGTGGACGGGGCCCTGGTCACGAAGGTGCAACTAGGACAACTTCAACGTGCACAAGGGTCTAACGCTACAGGCCGGGGTCACACACGGGGCATATGAGCAACCCCGCCAAGGGTGTCATGGCGCCACACTCCAGGCCAGGTCACGTCCACTTCCAACGCCAGCGCCCAGGTTCTCCGGGATCATTTCACACCCTCCGTGAGTTCTGACCGACTTCCAGCAGAAACAACCCACTGACCAAGGCGAAGTAACACAGGAAACCACGTGACCTCAGCCCCACATGACAAGTGCCGGGTCTGGCCTGGGTCTAGGTCTGAGAAAACAAAAGCTAACTTAAGTGAAACTGGGCATTCAAACGCAGACTTACGCTACACTAACACCGCTGCACACGACGACAGGAAGGGTCACACCGCCCAGTCACCAGCACCCAGTGCACAGACGCGGGGTTTCAGAAACACGGTTACTTACGCCTTTTTAATGTCCTCGGCTGAAGCATGTCTCTGCACGCCTAGAACTTCATAGTAATCCACCATGGTGTGACAGGCTGCTGGGGGTCCTGCAACGACAAACCCGTGGTCAACAACGACACTGCCAAGGCTGGGCTCGTGGCGGGGGGACGGAGCAGGGCACGGAGCAGGGGACGGAAGGCACGTGGCCTCAGTGCAGCTCCCCCCCCAGCCTAGAGCCTCGTCTGGGAACGGTTACCAGCCTCAGCTCTAAGCCCCTTGTCACACAGAAGGAAGCTGACACAGCCCGATAATGACCCAAACTAAAATGAATGCGTGACTGAGGCAGAGTGAAGGCTGGCAGGCCCTTAGTGGCACCTTCCCCTCCTGCAGGGCCGGGTCTAGGGAGCTTCAGCACGGCCTTCGCTCCTGCGTCCTTGGGCCAGGCACTGGGCAAGACGGCGCAGAGCCACAGGCACCTGCCACTCAACCCCCACCCCCACCAGAGAAGGGCTGGCCGCGACCGTGGGGCCACGTGTAACTGCCCTGTGGCCTCGCCCCGTCTGCCCTCACCGAACAGGAAGTATGCACGGGCCAGTTCTCCAGGACAGGGAGTCCAATCAGGTCACTCCCTGACTGGCTATGGCACTTCATTAACCAACAACCAAAAACTTCCACTGACTGGTCCTCCACACGACAGCACAAAACAACTTCACGCAATAACGGCGGCTTTTCTGCCCAGACACCATGCCCAAAACCAACGCAAGGCTTCCCGTGGCCTTCCCAGAAACCCCAGATTTTCAAAAGAAATACGTAGATGCTAAACAAAGCCCTGAGACCATAACCCTCCTGAGGCCGTGCTGCTGCGGCCGAACGTCGTCCAGGTTAAACAGTCCACGGCCAGGACCCGCTCCACTTCTCAAGATGACCTGTGCTGCTGGATTGTGTTTCTTCTTTCTGGCGCTGGGGAGCAGCCCACGGTAAAAAAAGATCTGGTCCACAGTGAGTCAGCAAGAACGCACACGGTCTGCGACCCAGCACCGCCCATGGAGCAGCCCCGTGTAGCGGGTCTGCGCAACCGCAGAGACCCCACGCAAGGGGTCCCTCGAAATGCCGCACGTGTTACATAAATCCTGCACGCACATTTGGAGAGACGGATGAACTCCCAGGAAAGAAAAGGCTCCAGGGCCAGAAACAAGTGCCAAGAGTGGCTGGTGATCAAAAAGATGAAGCCTGCCCCAGGGGTGGTGACGGGTGCAGCAGGGATGGAGACTGGCTCCTCGAACGGGGACAAGAGAAACTCTTTCCACTGACTGCAAACGAGAAAAAGAGGCGCCCTGAGCGTGAGGAGCCGGGCCTCAGTCTCGCACAGCGGGGCCGCACCACCAGCAGCAACCTGCAGCGCTCTCCAGAGACATCGAGTCTCGTCCCAGGGTGCTGGGGCCAACGACGCTGCGCTGGAGGGGTTAATAAGAGTCCCTACGCCCGGGTCCCCAAGATTCCAGCGGCAAACGCCACCCCTGCAGCAGGAGAGCTGACAGCCAGAGGCCACGCACGAGCTGAGCGTCAGGAAAAGGAAGAGGCAGAACACCGCCAAGAACTGGAAAGTCGAACAGCCTGAGCGGGAACAGGTGACCGAGTTTTCATAAAACCAACGGGGAGCCACACTGGGATGCAGGTGGGACAATCTGCCCTGTGATCAGGTAGTTATTAACATGGCCACTGGCCCTTAACAGCAGATCAGACAGAATGAGAGCGTCGGTGGCCTGAAGACAGGGCCCAGGCCAGCACCGGGGGACCCAGGCCAGCACCGGGGGCCAAGAGGGAAGGTCGGCACCGACGGCCCGGAGGCCGAGGCCAAGGAGGCGACAGCGAGCCTGCTCGTCACCGGAGTGGACGGAACACAGAACAGGGTCAGCCCGCCCCTTCCTTCCCAGCTTCACCGAGGTCCGGCGAGGAAATGATGGCACGTTAGCTGCGCAACATCGCGTTCTGAGTGCGAAGTGATCCCCAGGATCGAGGCAGTTAGCACGGCCCTACCCTCCCACGGCCGACCGTTTCTTCTGAGTGCTGGGAACACGGAATCTATGCACGTAGCGCACCTGATTGACTGCAGTCACTGTGCTGGACGTCAGGTCCCCGGAATGTGCTCGTAACTGAAAGTTCAGTGTGCCCCCCGACAGACGGCGCCCCACCCCAAGCCAGGCCAGCACAGTCCCGCTGTTTCTGCGAGGCCCGCCTTCCTAGGCTCCCCGCCAAGTGAGAGCGCGCAGTGGTGGTCTCCCTCTGTCTGACATCTCACTTGACGTGGTGTCGTCCAGGTCATCCATCCACACTGTCACGAATGGCAAGATTCCCTCTTTCTCAAGGCTGAATAATGAAGTATTCCGATCGGGAGGGTCGGTTCACGTTCGGATCCTCTCCATCTGGGAGGTGTGCGGAGCTCCAGGTACTAACGCGAGGATCCACACCAGCGGGGGACACGAGCGCGCGTGCTCAGGGAGGACGTCTGAGAGACACGCGCCCTGCAGGCTGTCGGTAATGCGTCACTTCCGCTACACAGACACCTTTGCTACCAATTCGAACCCGTGTTTTCCGAAGTCCAAACAGTTTGGCTAGTCTTTGCAATAATGTGCCGAGTTTGTGCAAATGATGATGACTGGGGAGCAGGGGGGACAGGGGGCGGAGCTAGATCCTCGAGACAGTGCAGCCACGGGATGAGAGGGGGAACTCAGAAGGCCACGCCGGCCAGGCGGCAGGTGCAGGCACAGGAATGAGAGGCAGGGAGCCGCGCCTCGCCACAAGCAGCACTCCAGGCCGGCCCTTTCTCCCCTTTCTAAAAGGGGACCGCCCCGGGAGAAAACCCAGACGAACCGCAGCAGACCGTCCACCTGTGGAGGCCAAAGCCTCACCCTTGCTGCCCCTTCTGCAGAGCTGGTGACGCTCAGCCCTCCTCTGAGGGCCTCAGCTCGGCCCGGGCACACCCACCTGAAGCTCACTCCTGTTTCAGGTCAGCAGGAGAAAGCTCCCCAACGGGCGGCCAACAGACACGTTCAGGGCTCACGCTCTGTGATGCCCAAACGCTGAGCACACTGGACCTTCCAGTCGCATCCGTGTCCTGGTCTGCCTTCCCTCGGCCAGCCTGCTCCCGTCCACCAGCCCTGTTAGGAGCTGGGGCTCCGAGCCCTCTTTCCATCACACACCCCTGTTCCCGTCCACTCCCGCTACTGAAGCGCCAGCTACTCAGCAACGACCCCCAGGTTCACGCTCTGATGCTGGGCCTGCGTGGCAAGTGAGATGTGAAAGGCAGGCTACTCGGCCATCTGACAGACGGCCCAAACAGAGCATGGCCAAGGTTAACCCCTGGCCCTCCCCCACCCCACACCCAGTCTTCCTCTAGGAAACTCTAGCCTGAGTTCCTGAGCTGCTAGACCCGGGGGACACCCACCCTCACCAACACTGCTAGACCCCACGTACACGAACGAATCACCAGCAAAACGTCTCAAACGCCCTCCCTCTCTCCTCCTGACACGCTGCACGAGCCTCCGAACCCAATCACCCCCTCCTCCGTCACAGCCACGGGGGCCTCAAACGCACAGGTGCTATCACAACCAACACAACACCGTGTCCAGCACTGGACAAAAGCCGCTATGGAGGACACGGTCAGCTCCACTGGGGAGGTAAGGAGATGGCCTATAAATTAACTGTGCGGGTTCACGCCGGGGCCGGGGCGGGGCAGGTACAAGACGAGCTCAGGACACGCTGTCAAGCGAGAAAGGAAAGAAGCCAGCAAAACCTACAGGCCGGGTCAGGAGAAGCCAGGGAGGGCCGTGACGTGCGCCAGCCCGGACGGGACCAAGAACCAGCGAGCGCTAAACGCTGCCTGGCACAGAAAAAGGACAGGAGTGAACAGCGGGAGCGGCGCGGAGGGGCCTGCAGTGGCCAGCGCTGCCGCAGGGCGACCGTCTTCGCTCTGCGAAGCGGCGTGGTGGCCTCACACGCGGTGCTGAGGGAAAGGCAGGCAGGCAAAGGCCTGCGCTGCCCCTGCCAGCCCTGTGCCCCTCAAACGACTGCACCACGGAACACGAAGACAGGTCAAAAAGAACGCGTACGGCCGTGGCAAAAAGCCATGGGAACAAAACTAAAGGGGCGCCCAGGGACCAGCGTGATGCCCAGCGTCAGAGTGACGGCCTCGCACGCACGAGCAGGAGGGACCAGGGACGAGGGACTGACGACGCCCGACGCGCCTCCTGGAACTGCAGCTCCCAAATGCAGGGGGGCGCCGGCACGGGACCGCGACCAGTCAGCGCCCGCCTCAGGAGGCGCCACGGCCCCTGCCCCCGCCACGGCCCCCCACTCTGGACGGCTGGGAGCGCGGGCCCTCCAGGGAGCCCCCTCTGGTCCTCGTCCAGGAGACGGCTGCGGGCACAGCCTGCACACACGTGGGGTCACCTTCACCACTACCTCCTCTAGGAAACCGGCCCCACGCTCCTCCTCCCTCGCCCCCGGTCCCCGCGCTGAGCCGGCTGCCAGGCAGCGTGTGTGACTGCCCGAACAAGGGCGTGTCGGGTCAGGCAGCGAGGGGCAGGACGCGTGGCGGGGTGCAGCGGGAGGTGCTCCGCGTTCAGGGCACTCCCTCCAGCAGGGCATTTCGTGCACGGGCTGCGTGCACAACCACAAAGTTCTACGGGAAAGATCAGGTTTTCTTCCATTCCTAGTGAAAATGTAATTTCAAAAACTTTTTAATCCACATGACAGCACATTTTTAAGTGACCTACTAGTTAGTTCCGTCGATAGTTCAGGGTCCCTAGACCATAACAGGGAAAGCAGCTGGGCAACGACAAATCTCTGACCCCGTACCCGAGCTGCAGGCAGAGTCCCCGTATCACAACCCCAGCAGAGGACATGGCTGGGAGGGACCGGGATCCCGACCGCGGGAGGTGCAAGGTTCCTGGAGCCTGACTGCACGCCCTGCCCAAGCACCGTGTGACTCCGCGGGGGACACAGGACTCAGATGCTCGAGGCCACAGCGTGTTCCCCACGTCTCAGCACGAGCCCGTAAGAGAAACAGATTTCAATGTAACCGCGAGGATGACAACAGCCCACGGTC